CTCCTCCCAAGATACATGTATGTTCTTCTTGGCTCACTAGCTTAAAGAACAATTAGGAAATTCTAGAACCTCAAAGTCTTAATAGAAAACTATCTGACAGATTGCATACTTGCCAACTCTCCCTATTTTGGAAGGAGACTTCGGACTTTGTGCCCTAAAATTCAACCAGTAAATTTGCAAAAAGTTTTACCATGATGATCCTAAAATATTAATGAAATATTCATAACAAATTGAGTTTTTCATGTAGTATGTTATACAGTTAAACATTACTTAATATTGAACTTTTAAACCAAGAATTCCACGGGAGTGGATGTGTCGCCTGCTCAGCGCTTTTAGTAAGAGTTATGATGTAAACAGATATGCCAAAATGCAGGAAGTTGAAACTCGACAGAAAAATCTGTAATATATGTTGAACATTATTGCTTCTAACATGACCGTACAAAATTTGAAAGGAACTGATTAAAAAATCTACAAATTTCATAGAATTTTTCACAAGACAGATATTTTGTTACCTTCTGTCCTTCTTCACAAACATGTACGAAAAAAATGTCTAAATTTATGTCATGTCTGTTTTGAGAGATTAGAGACTGAGCAAGGACAGGAGACTGAGAGTTTGATACAAAAAATATTGTTATTCTGCGGAATTCGTTTTTTCCCTTTGAAGAGTGTTCAAAGTAGCAGTTAACTTATATTACCTTCTTTCTCTATGTAGACAACCAATCTGAACACACATTAGATTTCTCCTGACAGGGGAGGTAATTCATCGACAGCTGACAACCAAGGATTCCTGGGAAAATACAATAAATTATTTGTCATGAAATTTGTGTAACATCACAAATAAACATAATCTCAGATATTTGGTTGTTTAACTGATTCTCATATTGAAAAACAAGAGGACCAGGGGCCTTAATATCTCACCTGGTATTTTATTTTTCAATTTAAAACCTGCTGAGTACCATACAGGTTTATCAAAGGAGTACAAGAAACAAAGTTGCAAGAAGAACTACATATAAATCTGTTTTGGTGGGAAAGACACCAAGAAAATGAGTTTCCATGTTATGTCGCAATTTTCCTCTATTACCCCTATTTGGCCTCATATGCATCTTTTTATACAAATTAAACAAATTGAGGTTTTTTTCCCTAAGCATGCACCACATTTGGTTTAAATCCCTTCATTTGTACAGAAGGGAAAATATTTTTTTTCTATTTCCCCTATTGGGCCCTGCTCCTCTGCCTGGGGGGCACATCTTCCATTTATAAATATTCAATTCCCTTTGCCCAAAGATTCTCTAGAACAAGTTTGGTTAAAATCCCTTCAACGGTACAGAAGGAGAAGGATCTTTAATGTTTTCCTCTATTTCCCCTAAATGGCCCCACTCATCTGCCCCAAAGAAGGGGGTCCACACACCTCAGTTTAAACAAAATTGATTAGTTTGTCCCTAATCATGCTTCAGACTGCATTTGGTTTAAATCCCTTCACTTGTATAGTATTTGGACCCACCCCTACGCCCCTAGGGGGGCCACACCCTCCATTTATACAAACTTGAGTCTCCTTTGTCCAAAGATGCTCTAGGACAAATTTGGTCAAAATCCTTCTATTGGTTGAGAAGAAGATTTTTAAAAATTTACCTATTTTCCTCCTATTTGGCCCCGCCCCTCTGCCCCCAGGGGGAACCATACCCTCTTTTTATACAAAACTGAGAACCCTTTAGACAATGATGCTGACCAGACCAAATTTGGTCAAAATCACTTCATCGGTACAAAAGAAGAAGGATCTTTCATGTTTTCCTCTATTTCCCCTAATGGGCCCCACCCATCTGCCCCTAGAAGGGGGCCCACACACCTCAGTTTATACAAAATTGATTCTTTTGTCCCTAATCATGCTTCAGACTGCATTTGGTTTAAATCCCTTCACTTGTATAGTAGGAGAAAAAAAATCTTCTATTTCCCCTATTCGGCCCCGCCCTCCCCCTCCAGAGGGGCCACACCCTCCATTTATACAAACTTGAGTCTCCTTTGTCTAAAGATGCTCTGAGACAAATTTGGTCAAAATCCCTATATTGGTTGAGAAATAGAAGATTTTTAAAGATTAACCTATTTTCCCCCTATTTGGCCCCGCCCCTCTGCCCCAGGGGGACCATACTCTCCGTTTATACAAAACTGAGAACCCTTTGGCCAATGATGCTCCAGACCAAATTCGGTCAAAAGCCTCTGAGCTGTTCAGGACTAGTAGAGTTTGGGCCAGGTGAAAAAACAATATTCATTATTCACCTTTACTGTATTAGACTTGATAAGGGTGTCGTCAATCAGTGCTGAAAAGAGTGCGTTCCAGGATTTTTTTAGAATATAACTCAAACGCTTATGCTTATGGGTGGATTGGTCGTGTGGTTAACACTCCGGCCTGCCACACAACTCCAACAACCTAGGTGGAGTATAAAATGGTCTGGGGTGGGTGTTGCAGTATCTGTTGTATATTATTTTATTTTTTCATGATTATAAAAATTTTGGATTGCGTGTTTGGGTCTTAATGCTCCCTCTACTGACCTGCCTTAATGCCCCCTCTACTGACCTGTCCTAATGCTCCCTCTATTGACCTGTCTTAATGCTCCCTCTACTGACCTGTCTTAATGCTCCCTCTACTGACCTGTCTTAATGCTCCCTCTGCTGACCTGTCTTAATGCTCCATCTACTGACTTGTCGTAATGCTCCCTCTACTGACCTGTCTTAATGCTCCCTCTACTGACCTGTCTTAATGCTCCCTCTACTGACCTGTCTTAATGCTCCCTCTACTGACCTGTCTTAATGCTCCCTCTACTGACCTGTCTTAATGCTCCCTCTACTGACCTGTCTTAATGCTCCCTCTACTGACCTGTCTTAATGCTCCCTCTACTGACCTGTCTTAATGCTCCCTCTACTGACCTGTCTTAATGCTCCCTCTACTGACCTGTCTTAATGCTCCCTCTACTGACCTGTCTTAATGCTCCCTCTACTGACCTGTCTTAATGCTCCCTCTACTGACCTGTCTTAATGCTCCCTCTACTGACCTGTCTTAATGCTCCCTCTACTGACCTGTCTTAATGCTCCCTCTACTGACCTGTCTTAATGCTCCCTCTACTGACCTGTCTTAATGCTCCCTCTACTGACCTGTCTTAATGCTCCCTCTACTGACCTGTCTTAATGCTCCCTCTACTGACCTGTCTTAATGCTCCCTCTACTGACCTGTCTTAATGCTCCCTCTACTGACCTGTCTTAATGCTCCCTCTACTGACCTGTCTTAATGCTCCCTCTACTGACCTGTCTTAATGCTCCCTCTACTGACCTGTCTTAATGCTCCCTCTACTGACCTGTCTTAATGCTCCCTCTACTGACCTGTCTTAATGCTCCCTCTACTGACCTGTCTTAATGCTCCCTCTACTGACCTGTCTTAATGCTCCCTCTACTGACCTGTCTTAATGCTCCCTCTACTGACCTGTCTTAATGCTCCCTCTACTGACCTGTCTTAATGCTCCCTCTACTGACCTGTCTTAATGCTCCCTCTACTGACCTGTCTTAATGCTCCCTCTACTGACCTGTCTTAATGCTCCCTCTACTGACCTGTCTTAATGCTCCCTCTACTGACCTGTCTTAATGCTCCCTCTACTGACCTGTCTTAATGCTCCCTCTACTGACCTGTCTTAATGCTCCCTCTACTGACCTGTCTTAATGCTCCCTCTACTGACCTGTCTTAATGCTCCCTCTACTGACCTGTCTTAATGCTCCCTCTACTGACCTGTCTTAATGCTCCCTCTACTGACCTGTCTTAATGCTCCCTCTACTGACCTGTCTTAATGCTCCCTCTACTGACCTGTCTTAATGCTCCCTCTACTGACCTGTCTTAATGCTCCCTCTACTGACCTGTCTTAATGCTCCCTCTACTGACCTGTCTTAATGCTCCCTCTACTGACCTGTCTTAATGCTCCCTCTACTGACCTGTCTTAATGCTCCCTCTACTGACCTGTCTTAATGCTCCCTCTACTGACCTGTCTTAATGCTCCTTCTACTGACCTGTCTTAGTGCTCCCTCTACTGACCTGTCTTAATGCTCCCTCTACTGACATGTCTTAATGCTTTCTCTAATTACCTGTCTTAATGCTCCCTCTACTGACCTATCTTAATGCTCCCTCTACTGACCTGTCTTAATGCTCCCTCTACTGACCTGTCTTAATGCTCCCTCTACTGACATGTCTTAATGCTCCCTCTGCTGACCTGTCTTAATGCTCCCTCTATTGACCTGTATTAATGCTCCCTCTACTGACCTGTCTTAATGCTCCCTCTACTGACCTGTCTTAATGCTCCATCTACTGACCTGTCGTAATGCTCCCTCTACTGACCTGTCAGGTATAAGAAATGAATGCATAATAAAGTGTGTTTTAAAACTTGTGACAGTTAGTTAATTGGGATGCCTCTAAATAATGTCCAGCTATAATATCATCCCTGACTTTAGTTCAAAAACGGTTGTTGTTGATTTTTTAGACACTTCTCATAAACTGTGGCATTACATTTTAAAGATTGACAATGGGAATGAAGATTTAAAAATAATATCTAAATCTGCATTGATCTATATATTTATGGAGAAATAGAGCTATCAATGGCTGACCAGAGTTGTCCTTGGAGAGAGATAGAGCTATCAATGGCTGACCAGGGTTGGCCTTGGGGAGAGATAGAGCTATCAATGGCGGGCCAGGGTTGTCCTTGGAGAGAGAAAGAGCTATCAATGGCTGACCAGGATTGTCCTTGGAGAGAGATAGAGCCATCAATGGCTGACCAGGGTTGGCCTTGGAGAGAGATAGAGCTATTCATGGCTGACCAGGGTTGTCCTTTGAGAGAGATAGAGCTATCAATGGCGGACCAGGGGTGTCCTTGGAGAGAGATAGAGCTATCAAAGGCTGACCAGGGTTGTCCTTGGAGAGAGATAGAACTATCAATGGCTGACCAGGGTTGGCCTTGGAGAGAGATAGAGCTATTCATGGCTGACCAGGGTTGTCCTTTGAGAGAGATAGAGCTATCAATGGCTTACCAGGGTTGTCCTGGGAGAGAGATAGAGCTATCAATGGCGGACCAGGGGTGTCCTTGGAGAGAGATAGAGCTATCGATGGCTGACGAGGGTTGTCCTTGGAGAGAGATAGAACTATCAATGGCTGACCAGGGTTGTCCCTGGAGAGAGATAGAGCTATCAATAGCTGACCAGGGTTGTCCTTGGAGAGAGATAGAACTATCAATGGCTGACCAGGGTTGTCCTCGGAGAGAGATAGAGCTATCAATGGCTTACCAGGGTTGTCCTGGGAGAGAGATAGAGCTATCAATGGCTGACCAGGGTTGTCCTTGGGGAGAGATAGAGCTATCAATGGCTGAACAGGGTTGTCCCCTTGGGGAGAGATAGAGCTATCAATGGCTGACCAGGGTTGTCCTTGGAGAGAGATAGAGCTATCAATAGCTGACCAGGGTTGTCCATGGAGAGAGATAGAGCTATCAATGGCTGACCAGGGTTGTCCTTGGAGAGAGATAGAGCTATCAATGGCTGACCAGGGTTGGAACGTAGGCATTAATACAAGTCTGTAAGCTTGGGTGTATTTATGTACGCTTCAATGAACATTGTACAGCTACACAATACTGTCAATACAAAGCTATAAACAATGAACTATCAATGACAGATAATGATCAGTTTTCTTCAAGTCAATTGAACAGTGATACAATTATCATATCATGAGTAACAAATGGGATGTTTCAAAACCAAATTATAAGCTTGATT